AGTTTAATTTTTAATCAAAGGAAATTTGAGAACAATATTCTTACGTTCAAATTTTGAAAACTCCTACGCTTTTATATGCGATACCGAATTTGTAAAAATTTCGCCAGGGATGGAGTTACCTCTCTGAAGTTATGAATGATTTAATAAAATTCGCTAGAAATTGTGATAGGTGCCAAATTTGAAAAAAAAAAAAAAACAAATGCTTGCCATTTTATGCGAGTTACAAATTTTCTAAAAGCCATACGGGCACTTCCGAAAAAGGAATATTTTCATAACTTGAAATTTAGAGGAATTATTTTGGTGACCTACCGAGTTAAACTCTCAAAACGCCAATACACGTGTCTCATATTTCTGCTTCATTTTCATAATAAGCGCTTTTCCTTCGCACCTTGTAATTAAGGGTTACCGTTATATGCGAGTTATATCAAATTCTGACTTGAACGGAATACTTTTTCAATCCCCACAATATTATGTGTTGGGAGTGCAGTGTGAGATAAAAAACTGCAACAAAATCAAAATCCATAATTTTTACACTTTTTTTTTTAATTTTATTGAATGAAAGAAAAAAATGTGGGAAATAGCATCAAATTTTAGATTTGTTCGAATTGTACACCTCTGGCACGAATTATGGCCTTCAAATGGACAATGAAATGAAACCACACGCTGCCCAAATGTTGCTCTGCGGTAGTTTGGCCCTTTTCCGGCGAAGCGTATACTTGAGATGTTCGAAACTTTGGTATTTTTAAGTGCCAACTTCGCAAAATACTCCAGATTGGTATGCGGAGATTTTGGTGGCCATTGTGCGCTGGAAATGAAGCGAGGAACCTCATTTTGTAACCATTCTTGGGTGGCGCATGCTGAGTGCTGTTGGAATGTCCAAGGTCTGCGGCCAAAATGTTTGCGTGCCCAAGGCTTTAATGCACCTCCAGAATATTTTCGCGATAATATTCGCCATTTATTTTGATGCCACGGTCGATTATTACGAGCGCAGAGCAACCATCGACTGTTATGGCGGCCCACATCATCTCATAGGAGAAAACCAAATTCGGCAGTTTACCACTTTCGGCCAAGCGAAGCAACTCTTTAACTCTTTTGAGTCCATTTTCTTTCTTTTGCTATGTAAGTTCTTGCAATTTTTGAAATTTCAATGGCGTCGGGCTACGCTACCAGTATCACGGGAACGAGCGATGGCAGGAGACACAAAAGACTTATTCACATTTAAATGCTGGAGTGCTCTAACTATAGCCACTTGTCGTTTTCCAGCCAAATATAAATAAATCACACTATCACGCTTGAATTCCATCACGAATAACTTTTGTTCTGGAAAATTCTCACGGAAATGCTTTTCTACGCTTGGAAACAATATAATCAGCTGTCACTGGAATAATTTTAAGAGCTGTCGGACGAGTGGCTTAGAAGTGACAGCAGTCTGAAGTTGGTTGCAGTTTTTTTCACCTCACCCTGTATTATAAGTTTGATTCGTGTCTAAAATACGTTTGTTTTCATGAATTGCATTTCACGTTCTTGTTATAATTATCACCTATGCTTATGTTGCTATATTAGTTTTTGAATTATTTATACCCTTATTTACATGGTTTTGCTATTTAATGTTGGTTTTCGTTAAAAGCAATGGTGGGGGTTTAATTTGGATGCTAGCTTCCAAAAGTTAAACGAAGCATAAACTTGCGATTAGTTAAATAAACACATTAAGCAATTTCAGCAAAATTTGCTACTCTAAACTTTTGCCATTGGTTAAAGTCATATCGTGCCAGTATTTGCAAATAATAGTTTTTACAAAATTAGTTTCAACCCCCTATGTTCGCACACACGCACAAAGTTTTCTCACACACACACATAGTCAATTGCATTTATGGGGGCTAGATAGTTTGTTACCTTATTTAAGTAATGCCGATAGATTTTTCGGAATATCCAAATTCAATTTTGTAATTTGAATTTTTGTAAAAATTGATTTTTAATTTTTTATTTATTTTGTAGTTTTTTCCGATTTTATATACATATTTTTATATGTAATTTATTTATCTTGAAATCGACTGCAATTTGTTAGATTTCTATGGAATGAATTTACTATAAATTGATATCATTGTGGCATAACCGAAAATGTGGAAAATATTTTACATAATACTTTGATTTTTGTATTTGAATTCATTTAAATCTTGGTTCCAGTTTCGCATTATTATATCAATGTAATCTAGTAATTTTTTTTGTGAAAAATTTCAGAAAAATAATTTTAATGAATGTAATAGAAGAATACATATGCACATAGTAAATTGAAAAATTGCATTGAAGTAACAAATTCTATAAAATTTTAAGTAATTTTAACAATTTAAAAAACAGGATTATGAAACTAAATAGAAATTGTGACAGCTTGTATGTGACAGGTTTGTTTTCATTTTACATTTTATTCTGTTTTTGTACTTCCAACTCGTTTTAAATGGCTCAAAAATTCTGTTTGTTTTGAAAGTTAAGCAAGTCAAAAAGCAACTAAGTTCGGCCGGCCCGAACTTTTAATACCCTCCACCATTGAGAAGGAACTTGAAAGATTTCTAAAAATTCCGTTGAAAAATAACACTTAAATGAAAGCCGTTATATGGGAACTATACGAAGACTTGGATCTGCATAGACAATTTTCTGTAATAGGTTTTAGTACCTACATATTACGAATAATACCTAAAACGAAACGTAAATAATATCCCTTAAATCATCAAAACACCGAATATCGGTAGGTATCGTTATATGGGGTCTATACGAAGACGTGGACCTGCATAGGCAATTTTTATAACCTACACCACATAGTGGTAAGGGAATTATGTGTTTGTGTATTCGTTTGTAACATGGAGAAGGAAGGATCTTCATAGAACTACTTTCTGAGTCGAATTATGCATGTCAGTTCATACGTCCGTCCATGTATTCTTGTGAACATAATGTACATAATGCATTTATGAACCCTATTGGAATTGGTGATAATCGGATCAGATTTAGATATAGCTCCCATATATCTTCAACCGACTTCGGGTTAATTGTTCACCAAATGGCCAATATAAGTTCAAATGACCTGCATTTCGTTACATCCGACCAAATTCAGTCTAACGAAGTACATCGAATTCGGAGAGAATCTGTTCAGATATAGCTATAACTTCCATATATATGTTTCATCCGATTTGGTGTTTGAGTCCCTCAAATTCGTCATATGCCTTCGACAACAATGATATATAGTACCAGATATCTTATAGAGGTCGGAAATAGCTTTGACAATTTTTATCAAGATCGGTTCAGATTTTGATATAGGCCCCATATATCTTCAACCGATTTCGGGTTAATTGTGCACGAAATGGCCAATATCAGTCCAAAAGTCCTTAAATTTGGTACATCCAACCGAATTTTGACTAGAAGCAAGTACATTAACTTTGGAGAAAATCGGTTCAGATATAGCTATAGGTCTCGTATATATGTTTCATCCGATTTGGTGTTTAAGTCCCTCACATTCGTAATATGCATTCGACAACAATGATATTTGGTACCAGTTATCAGATACAGCCCAGAAATACATCTGCCAAATTTTATCAAGATCGGTTCAGATTTGGATATAGCTCCCATATATATCCTTAATTCGATGTCAGTGTTATTGTGCAAATAATGGCTAATATCAGCCGAAATGTAGTGAATTTCGGGACGTAAGTTTCCATTTTGTACAACTCGTTTCCGATATATATTTTTTTAATATAATCCTTCTCCAAGTGATATTATGCACTCTTTATCTAACTTTAACTGCTCTAAAGCCAAATGCTGATAGGTGGTATGATATACTTGAAATAAATTCTTTTGTTACGGGACCTCTACTAAATATGCATAGTGGTCTAAGGTATTCGCCCCGACTTTTTGATTTTTTTTACTGGTTTATATCTAAGTCATCCAAATCCGTATTATACACTACATAACAAGGATTTCCGGTACATAATACTAGGCATATCCTAAAAATAACTTTTTGTTGAGATGGGTTCAGATTTGGATATATCTTCCATATATATGTCCCTCTAAGTTTGTGTAAATCCAGAACGCGGCATTTCACCAAATAAAGTAGTGTCATCTGATTTTATATTTAAATGTTCAGAAAGTCATAACATGCACTCCGTAGCAACGATATTTGGTTTGAGAGGACACATACAATATAAATTTACTTTAGTCATGTTTAGTGGAATTTGATTAAGATATAGCTTCTATAGTTTAGTCTTAACCTATTTCAAATTTAAACCGCTCTAAAGCGTTTATACGCAATTAATGCCTAAATTGACTACATGAACGGTTATTTGATACAATGACCTCTACTTAATATCCATAGTGATATTGGGTATCATAAAGAATGCACAGCCGGACTATTGCCTTTTCTTACTGGTTTTAAAAATAAATGGCTTCCAAAAACATTTTTAAAAATTCGCTTATAAAAATCGTACAAAATCGTCCCTACATCGTCTAAAGAAAATCGTATTTATTACATTCGAAATTCTGTTGTCTTAACGGATCTTTTCCTTATGATTGTCAATATTACTTCGATTAACATTTGGTTGCATATATAAATTTCATAAAATTTGGTTGCTTAAATATGCCAAATACAACAGCCAATAGCCAACCAAGATTAGAAATATTTTCTTTCAAAATAAAATTTATTTCAAATAAGAACTTTGTGATTTCAGAATCAAAATCTATCCATTGATAAAGCTTTCAATGATGCTTTACCACAAGACATTTAAGTCATTCAAATGCAATATAACATATCGATGACTGATTTTCGTTGAAGGCCAAGTAACATAGCTACCGCATTTACATATTTGATAAGATCCCATTTAGTTTCCATAAATATACCCACATATTTACACTACCCCAACAAATTACCCCTTTATTTGGTCTTCGGTCACATTGTTGGTAGCATACATATTTGTATTTTAAGAGGAAATACACAAAAGTAAAGCATCATTCCTACTTACCACTTAAATCAATACGAAATATCGGTACATCGGCATATGTGCTCGTTGTGTTCAAACGTAATTTCTTTGTTTTCGAATCGTACGCTTCCAAATAGTAATGCTGTTGCAGGCCACCATCATAGCCGGGCATACATTCCAGTTCCATGGTCGAGTAGATGATATTATCGTAATTGTCAAAATTGATGGTACCACCCCCGCCACCATTGCCGATGCCACCGATGCCGTTACCCAACATGTCAGAGGCCGAGGCGACCGGACCACCATAAGGACTTACAAGACTGTGGGTAGCAATGCCATTGTGAAAGCTATATTCCATACGTGAATAATCAAAATGTGGTTCATTATTCAGATCATTTGTATCCAGGCTGTCGTTGTCGGCGGTGGTGGTATTGTCATCGACATCATCGGCACGCTCGGTATCGGCCGGTGGGGGATAAGGTGAGTGGCCATTCAGGTACTGTTGTTGTTGATGATGATAATAATGATGATGGTCATCATTTTGCTGATTGTTATTGTGTTCATTTCTTCTGTTGTTGTTGTTGTTGTTATTGCTATTATCCCTCTGTTGTGTCAATGCACTGGCTACGGGTAGAGATGATGCTGGTGTTCGTGTTGACGTTGATGCTGTGGTTGTTGTTGTCGTCGTTGATGTCGTAGTTGCTGCTGCTGCTGCAGCTACTGCTGAATAATTAACGTTTTGCCTTTGCATTGCACTATCTAGGCTCGATAAAACCTCATCCAGGACTTTGGAATCATTCAAGGAATAATCTTCAACAATTTCGGCCAACAAATCATCATCGGTCTCATCAACATCAGCTTCCATATCTAAATCGTCCTCCTCCTCTTCAAGGCCCATATCTTCATCATCCTCTTCCATTAATTCGGCTGTTTGATGTAGGTCTTCATTATCATCGTCCAGACCGACCAGTGTTTCATTGTCTTCATCCTGGTTGGGAATTTCATTGAGTAAACTATTGCTATTGTTGCTGTTGTGTTTATTGTATTGTAAAATATTATTCTCAAATATATCTACACTCTCCAAAGCCATTGTTGGGTCGTCGTCATCACTTTCATCTACCGAAGGATTTGGTCCAGGGCCAGCGGCATTTATAGACTCCTTGCTATTGAGATCATCATCGTAGGATTTTAATGAATCCAAGTGGTGGTATTGTTGTTGTTGTTTCTGTGTTTGTTGTTGCTGGACCAATTGATTTGTAATTTCAGGTTTATTTGGTGGCATTTGAACCTTTGGTTGTCTTTTGCTTGATGTTAGGGAATTTTTGTTCGTTTGACCAGTTGCTGCAATGATGCTGTTGTTGTTGCTTTTACTTGTTGCCATTGCTGTTGTATTGAATATCTTATGATTGTTATTTTTGTTGTTGTTATCGCTTAAAAGCTGAGCATAGAATATTTCTTTATTATCCTCATTTGGATTTAATGATTTGCGTATTCTCTTTTTATCCTGCAATTCAATTGAGTTGTCTCCTGCCCCCTGGATATTCCCCGCCGCTGTATGTCGCAGAGCATTATTAAATTCATGCTGATTGCTGGAATGCTCCTTGCTACCATTAGAGTCATATTCATTAGCCTTGTCTGTCGTTAAATGCTCTTGCTGCAATGTTTGATAGTATATTTTTGATGTCTCAGATCCAACAGCAGTGGCTCTAGATTCCTCATCGGCAGCTTGTTGTTTCTGTTGATAATGTAGAGCAACATCTCGTTTGGCTAGCCGTTTTTGCAATTTGCTGGAATGGTTAAGTTTTCCTGCCAGTGTTCCAGATTTTGATGATTCCCCATGAGTTGATACACTCACATCTTTGCCGGTTTGCTGATGATATTTCGTTGGCTGTTGCTCTTCATGCTGCCGCTGCTGCTGATGACGATGATGAATTGCCCCTATTGTATTTATCGCACGTTGTTGCGTGTTTTTCAAATGTTTATTGTTGTCACGATTTTTGCTGTTGCTGTTGTTCTTGCTTTGATACCTATTGCTTTTGGCGACTACTACCTTTTTTGTGGCCGACTCCTCTATTGATGCTTCTCGACCCAATGATAAATTAGATTTTTCCTTGCCTCCATGTGCCGCATGCTTGTTGGCAACTTTTCCATTGTGTCGTTTTGTTGATGTTTTCTTGCCATTCTGATGTTGTTTCTTGGCAATTTTAGTTACAACATCATCGTTGCTCTTAATATGGCTGTGGTTTTTATCATTTCCGGCAACTGGCTTTGACTCAGCGGCATTGGCAGTGGCAGCAGCACGTTTTGCTCTCAGTAGTTTTTTCTTGTTGCCTCCTGTAGTATTTATGAGCATTTTATTTTTACCATGGCTTCCCTGGGCTGCTGAGGCTGACACTGTTGTTGTCGTTGTGGTAGATGCTGGCGGTGAGGCTGACAATGACAATCCATCACTTTGATTATTGATAAATGCTTTGGATGCGGTGAGTGCGGCTGCCTGTGGGCCCTGCTTGGCTTTTATTACTGATGCTGCAGTTGCCTCTTCGCTTGAATGTTGCTGTTGTTGCCTGTTAACAATTTTATTTTTGTTATTTGGACGATGTTGCTGGGTTTGTGGTGACAACGATTTGTTTTGTGGCAACTGTTGTTTATTTTTATCTTGTTGTTGTCTCTTGAGACCGGCCAAGGCCACGGAGGGGGTAAATGTGGTGCGTTTTTTTAGAAGTTGCATTTGTTGTGGACTCAAGGGTCGGCGATATTTTTGCTGTATCATTTGTTGTTGCTGCTGCTGCTGGCGTTGTATAACATTCTGTTGATTAATATTGCTGTTAGTTCTGGCCCCACCAGCACCATTTGCTTTGCTGCCTTTGATGCCCTCATTGTTAATTTTATTGTGGATTTTACTAGCATGTTTTCCATTGTTACTTGCATGGGAAGCAGGATTTACTTCTTGTTTGGAATTCCTTCCAACACCAGTAGCGCCACCACGACCACTGGCTGGACCACCATCAGCAGCATGATTATTGTTATTATTATGTCGCTCACGTACAAATTCCATATGCGGGAAATTTGTTTCGTGCCTTCCATATTGTGTTGGCATCATCATTTGATTGGCATGCATTGTTGTTTGATTCGATGAATTTAACGATGCTGAGGTCACCACATATGGCCTTAGGGTACAGTTGCGTAAAGCGCCTGGTTTTGCTATAAAAGGGCGAGCGACAGGGATAAAGAGAAGAAGCATAGAAAGAACCACATGAGTTTTATTATTAAAATAAAAAAAAAACAACAACAATCAAACCATTGAATATATGCTCCCCATGGTCCATCCAAACGATAATCAGATCACATCGGGCAGACATGGGGAGCAGAGGATATTACAAACAAAATAATATCATTATGTATAATTTTGATTTTTATTTCTATTTAATTCGGATGCTTTTTTATTATTTTATTGGTTGTTTTGTAAAGATTTTGATTTTGTATTGATTGTGATTTAACTAAATTGCCTGCCATCAAATCTCAAAGTTGTTATAATGCCAATAATCAATGTAATTTTATTAGGCAATAACATTAAATATGAGAACTTAACTTTTTTAGAATGATTTAAGTTACGCTGGGGAATGTACGTTTTATGAATGTTATTGCAATTATAATATCTATGTATATTTAATTTTTTTTAAAAAACATGAGTGCTTAAATATGTAGTGTGAATGTTTTCATTATGAAACAGCAGGGGAATTAATGCTTCAACTTTTATATCAATTTTTATACCCTACACCACACTGAGGTCAGGGTATTATGATTTTGTGCAATTGTTTGTAACACAGAGAAGGGAGCGAGTTCCTATTGATGATTTGCATTCTAAGTCGAATGATCTGCATTCTAATCATTAATCATTTAATTTAATCATTTAATTTGTTCCAAGTAGATTTGTTTACATCAATTTTTGAATATGATATCTCTCAAATGGCCACCTCTTGCGTTGATGACGTATTGTGCCCTTTTTGCTGCATTTTTCATCGTTTTTGCCAACATTTCGGTCGGAATAGCGGCTATTTCTTCACGAATGTTGTCCTTGAGCTCTTCTACGGTCCTTGGCTTGTTAACGTAAACCTTTGACTTCAAATATCCCCACAAGAAGAAGTCAGACGGCGTCAAATCGGGCGAACGCGGTGGCCAGTCCAAATCACCACTTTTTGACATCAAACGGCCCGGAAACAAATTCTTCAGAAAATCGATTGTTATGCGACTTGTGTGCGGTGGAGCGCCGTCTTGTTGAAACCTGAACTGCCTCATACGCTTTCGACGAATAATTTCCATCACAAAATTGATCACCATGTCGCGATAACACTCCTGATTGATGGTAACAGCATGGCCATTTTCATTTTGGAAGAAAAACGGCCCAATGACCGTTTTCGCACTAACGCCGCACCAAACTGTGACTTTTTCGTCATGAAGAGGCACTTCTTGAATCTCCTGAGGATTTTCAGTGGCGTAAAAACGGCAATTTTGCTTATTTACGGTCCCATTCAATGTGAAATGGGCTTCATCGGACATGATAATTTTGTTCCAAAATTGCTCGTCATCTTCGGCCATTTCGATGACTCTTTGGGCCCATTCCAATCGACGAGGCTTGTCCGCAGGCAACATTCTTTGCGTCAATTGAATTTTGTACGGGAACAAATGCAAATCAATGCGAATAATCCGTTGTAAAGTGGACCGAACCATGCCCAACTGCTGAGAACGGCGTTTTTGGGATGTTCTTGGGGACCTCTCAACACTGGCTCGTACGGCAGCGATATTCTCGGCCGATCGCCCTGGTCGACTTTTATATGGCCTCTTCGGATTAGAAAGAGCCTTACCAGTCGAACATTTTTCGTATAAACGCTTAATGGTGTTCTTAGAAGGCGCACTTCTCACATTTTTTAATGTTTTTAATTAAAGTATGGGTCCGTCGAATATGGGCAATATATATATATATATATATTTCATCCGATTTTTTAAATTTCTCCTCAACAGCTGTAATTTGCACTCCGTATCAACGATGTTCAACGAAATATATCAAACACAGCTCAGAAATACCTTTGCCAAGTTTTATCGATATCGGTTCAGATTTCGATGTAGATCCCATATATGTCTTCGACAGATTTCACGTTTATTGTGCACCAAATGGTGAAAATAAGCCCGAATTGAATGCATTTTGGCACATACGACCGAATTTAGCCTGAAAGAAAGCCAAGCTAAGCAACTCTTTAGCTCTTTTGAGTCTATTTTCTTTCCGTTGAGGTGTAAATTCTTGCCTTTTTTTGTAGTTTCAATGGCTTTACCCCGAGCTCATTTTTCAATGTTTGCCGAATGGAATATTGCAATATGTTCAGCTCACCATCCATTTTTCGGCAACTGCGACGCGGGTTTCGATCAAGTCGCTTCTTTACTTTTCGAACCATTTCTGCTGATGTTGCTGTTTTGTTCCGTCCAGTCGGGCTACGCTACTTGTATCACGGTAACGAGCGATGGTACGAGAAACAAAATATTTATTAACATTTAAATGCTGGAGTGCTCTAACGATAGCCACTTGCATTCCAGCCAAATATAAAGAAATCACACTATCACGCTTGGACTCCATCATAATTCTCACCAAAATGCTTTTGTGCGATTGTAAACAATATAATGAGCTGTCACTGGAATAATTTTAAAAGCTGTCAGACGAGTGGCTTAGAAATGACAGCAGTCTGAATTTGGTTGCAGTTTTTTCATCTCACTATGTATATGATTCATCCGATTTTGTATTTTACTCCCTCACAGCCGTAAAATACTCTCTACAACAACCATATTTGGTGTCAGCTATCAGATACAGCATAGCCTTTGTTAAATTTTATAAAGATTGCTTAGACTGGGATAAAGCTCCCATATATGTTTGCATCCAATTTCACGTCTATTGTGTCTAAAATATGTGATATCAGCTCAAATACGATGGATTTTGCCTTCGTCAAATTTAGTGGAATATGATGGAAACCTTATATTAGTTTTATTTAGGCTTTAAATTATAACGGATTTAACGATTATAGTTGTTTGTTTTAATTCTCAGAATTTCCCCTTTAAATTTTTATTTGTTATATGAAAAGTGGTGTTGGGTATCGTAAAATCAACCCAGCCCGACTTTGGCCTCCCTTTACAGTTTTTTTTTAATAAATTCAAAATATTAATTTTTTTCTACATTTTTTTCGCTAAAAAAAAAACTGAAGAATGGAATGAAGATTAAAACTTTTCGTGTCGAAATATTTTCAGTTACCTCACAAAGCAATTGCGTTTTATTTTTCTCCAAACTAAACCATATTTTCTGACATCATAGATCATGTGGCAACGGTTTATTGTTGTTAATTATTACTCACATACACCAAAAAGTAACAATTAATATTTATTGCCCTAAACGTGGTAATTATACCATTTTTCCATTATAACATGAATTTTGGTATTAATTACAAAACTAGCTGAGAAGTGTAAATTTAGTTAAGTGCCCCTTTGACATGCAATACTTAAATAAATTTACTTGCATCACATTGCAACAAATAAATCCACACATTGTAAAGAATTTATAATTTAATTCAAAAGAACATTAATTGTTTAATTCACATTATAAAGAAAGGGAAGCCCCATTATTTTGGTCAGATTAACGGGTTTATTCCATTAAAAACATAAAATGTAGATAAAATGAAAGTTTTTTTGTATTAAGTTGCTTTATACTGAAATGACTTACTGTGCTATTAATTTTTATATAATTACTAATAAAGTAAGAAAATGATTAAAAATCCATAAAAAAGTAATGTTGCTATATAGAGATTGGGCCATAGCATGGTATAACATTTTTAAAGTAACTAAAATCAGATAATATGGATTTTTATCTGAGTACCGAGAACTTTAAATTATCGTCTTTCAATTGCCAGGATATAAAATATATTTATAAATTATAATGGTAAATGGTCTAATACACACTTTTCTCTTAGAAAGAATATTGTCTCCCTTTTAAATTAACCTAAGTATGAATTTTTAATCGCCAAATGTGCAAATATTTTTCATAATCGCAAAAATATAAACAAATTTTATCATTTCGATCTGCTGTAGGAATGTCCAAGGTCTGCGGCCAAAATGTTGTGTTCCCAATATTAACACAACGCTTGAGTTCTGGTGGCCAACCGAAGGTGCACATTTTCACCAAATATCTTGGTATAACGGCTTTTAAGAAAATTACATTCGAAATGTGTATACAACAAATATAAATTTTGTTTACTGGCACAGTTTTATGAGTTTCCCCTTTCTTAATATTTTTTTTTTGTTGGGAAAGGAAGAAAATTTTTATATCAAATTCTCTAAAAATAAGAAGTCAATAATCTTAATGTGTATCTTTAACAAATATCATCAATTTTGGTTTAATAACCTCTTTTTCATTTTTGACTAAGTTTTCGAAATCGCAGTAAGTTTTCTTAAAACTTTACTGTACATCAGCCAGGGGTGTAGGATATTCCAACTTGAAAGCATTCCAAAATTTTCCGAAAGTGTTTTGGGTTTTCAGACAAAACGTTTTTAGGATCTTTATAGAGCCTTAACCATACATAAAGGAATCATTATATTTTAGAAAGCTTTGAACTATATAAAGAACCATATGTTTTTTACAATCAAAAATAATTGAGTCCGAACTTTCAATACCCTTCACCATAAGTAAAATAAATACATTGAAGAAATCTGTTGAAGATTGGAGTTAATTTCTACAAAATAACATTAAGTTGGTGGCACAGTTATATGGGGGCTATTCAAAACGTAAAAATACAAGACAAATTTAAGCTACAGGGGTAATAATCTATTGTGGGTTTCAAATACCAAGTGTGAAGCAATTATATTGAAAAAAATTTAATATAATCATCAGAATACCTAATATCAAATATCAAATTGAGCGAATTTTGACTAAAAAAATGGTTTCGAAATGCATTTCGGGTCTAAGTCTAAGCAATCGATTCTTAGAAAAGAAAATATTAATGCTATTAAGAAAATCTCAATTATCAGGTGATTTTTAGGAGATGTAGCTCACATGCAATTGAACATCAGGATATACTGTTAAATAGAAGTAATATCTAAATATAAACGGACACAGCCCATTTTCGGTATCATACACTGAAGGCATTGTGTGGTCTGTCGCTTGACGACTCAAATATCTATACGGCTTTGTTTTTGGTCCAGAATATGCACTTTATGGGGTCTTCTACTATTTTATGTAACAGGACGGACAAAATTAATTTAATTATGAGAGGGGATATAATAAGAACTTACAACCATAAAATATTTGATCTAACGTTGGGCTATTTTAGTTATTATAAGTGTAATATGGAATACCGCCAATATTTTATATCACATCACAATGCACGCCACATTTAATGTTTCATACATTCTATAAATTAAATTGTGGTGAAAACAAATTTTCGATATTTAATTTAATTCCTTTACAACTATTTAAGAACAATTTTTCTTTATACATTTTGATAAAGTTTTGTTAAATATTTCTATTTTACGATTTCGTAAACTTACCAGCTGGTACAACTTGAAATAAACATGGTTCTGATTGTTTGCCAATTGAATTTCTACCCCAGCAAGCCAAAGTGCCATAGTCTCGTTCGCCTTTTGGTGTATAAATCAATTCACTTACAGTCTCTACTAAGAAAATAACGAGACAAAAAAAAAACCAAAGGAAGAAATAGGAGAACAAGAAAAGAACAAAACAAATTTTAAGAAAAAAAAAAAAACGTCAAGTATTTCCAAAGAAATTTATTTGTATGTTTTAGGATTTTCTTGAGAATTTATTTTCAAGAAGATTTTTTACTGATTTTGTTTTAAAATCTTACCATAAGTTTCAAAATGTGTATCGTTGGATTCAACAATCGTCCGATGGATGTCTCCCGTTGTCGTGGTTGTCTCCTGTATTGTGGCATAATGAGCCGAGGGTACTGCAAAATGTTCACCGCTACTGGAAAAAGTCCATTCAAACTCGATTTCAGGTGGATCTGAATTTACACGGCAGGGTATGGGTACGGCTTCTTCCAAAGAGGCACCAATCACAACTAAAGTATTTGTGCTGCAAACAGGAGCATCTGAAGAGGGAGAGAGAGAAAAAAATGAAATATTAATCCAAACAATTCGCGATACGATTTATGTAGGTTAAGTATCCTCTGTAGCTATTGAGTAATTGGTTTTTATTGACTGTCAAAATTTGCCAATATCATTATTTTTTAAGCGGAAAGTACTTAAATTTCGTATTTCCTTATCGCAGTAAAAATTCGATAACCACACATACAAACAAATTCACAATGGTTGGAGCAGAAAATATTTGTTTTGTTCTTTAAAAAAAGCTATCATCTTTTGCTCGTAAATGGATGATTTTCATCTTATCATAACCGTTTTTATATTTCTCAAATATTCACTCACGCACACACACATATATGAATATGAGTAAGTGTATGAGTTTCCGTTGGAAACGTATGCATAAACATTTCACTTAAAAGTATCCTGAATCGTATGGATCACACTGCTGGCGTTACTTTATAAATGAAAGAAACATAAATGTAATGGGGTGTGCTGTCTTCAACGCATAAGGTAAGAATTTCCAAAATCATGGATGCCATTTCATAACATTTTTGTTAAACTTTGAATGAGTTCATAGATGAGTTACACTGATTTTACGCCTTTCGTACATCTGTGGTTGATTTAATGAAATACGGCAATGAAATATCGAAATCTTTGATATTTCTTAAATTCAATAGATATTAATATATTTTATAACATTTAGTTAAGGTGTCAGAATGGAGAACATTCTCCTGCAACATTCTGCAAAAAGTGTAAAAAATATCATGTATCCCTGTAAGTTTAACGAGGCTTCTGATTTCGCGCGATATTTGTATTTCTCTCTAATTTTGACAGGGTGCTATGTTCACCTGAATAGGCTTCACGCCTTTCGAATCTCCTCAAATGTTATAAGGTTTAGACTCTCCACCAGGGAAACGAGGATATATTAAATTTTTAATTCCGTCTGTAACATCTCCAATACCCTCTTAACATAAAGGAATAACAAGTTACCAATAATGATGTTAACATAGATTTTGTAGTATTTTGTGACATTTTTTATTTTTTCATATGACTTCATATGACTTATAATATATTGTAATATTTTTTCAGCTTTCAACACAGGTTGGGGATATTATATAAGTATTGCAAGTATCGTCCGATCCTTACGAAAAATTTCACAAGAGTAAGGCTGGGCTCAGAAGGGCTAGGCCTATTGTTTTCAAAGATGTCCGCAATTTATTAGGGGTTGAAATGGACCAACAACTAAAAATGTTCCTGATTTTGCAGCCGTTATAAAGGTCACAAATAGAAACCAAAGGACTCGAAATCTAGGACAGCGGGCACAATAGACCACTACTTTTGTGTGAAAAAATACCAGCATCACTTACAGGCGATATCCGAAATACACAAAAGACGAACTTCTGGCCAAATATCGTAGACAAGCAAACCATATAGATGAGTCTAAAATTGGAGATACAGAGGGGCATCTTGCTTTTGGAGATGATCGCCAAATATTTAGGGGTTTAAATGAACCAAAAAAATCGACACGCCTGAGAAGAGAGTTAAGAAGAATTCTAGCATTTTGGATGATCATTGGATTATATTTAGCTGTAAAATGGACTACAACAACTAACAGCCCGACGGAGTGCATAAATATTGGGCAAATGTCCCTAGCCAAAATTCTAATTTCAAAAGCGAAATATTCCAATATGGATTTGGACATAAGGGGGCTTCTAACATATTGTAGTGTTGTAGGGTATAACATAGTCGGCCCCGCACGACTATAGCCTTTGCTTACTTGTTTTTTCAATGTTAGAGTGAGGAGTTCGCAATGGGATCTATATCCTGTGAGAGACATTTGTCCATACAGGTCCACATTTTCCCCAGATGTGATACCGTTGATAATTGTTCAAGTTGGTCATTGAAGGACATAATATGAGAGAAAGCCACAAAAATTTAATTTTTATGCTCTACACCACTATGTGTTGGGTTTATTATAAGTTTTGCCCAATAAGTTTGTAACACCTAAATATATTGGTCCAAGACATAGGATGTTGCATATGGATCTTCCTGCCTCGCAGAGCTGAGTCGATCTAGTTTTGTCTGTCCAAATTAAATTGTAATCACGCAACAGGTCGCGATTAAGATCCGATCACCAAATTTTGCCTGAAGGTTGGGTTAAGGCCTATTGTTTTTTGGAGATGATTAAGGTCACTTCTGACCGTTACATTGATGCTGAAATTGATAGCTGAAAAAATCTCCTTTATCTAAGAAAGGGATGTTAGTTAGACAGCTTATAACTCAAGAAAGGCTAAGCGGACATCTAAATGTTTTTCTATAATATTTTTTGTCATTTTTTTCATCGCATGTTTTTTTTTTTCAATTTGACTTACAGTATTAAATTGTACACTTTGTAGTACTTTTTACCTTACAACACTAAGTATTGTGGGTGTTTTATTCAGGTCGCAATTATCGTCCGATCTTAACGAAATTTTGCATGGGGGTAGGGTTAAGATTAGAATTGAAACCTATTGATTTGGAAGATGTTCACAAAATATTTAGTCTTTCAAATGGGACAAAAAATAAATAGATATTAAAAAAATTATATTGATTGCAGTTCCAAACTAAGGACAAATAAATATGGACTTTTTTATAAGGTTAGAGTTTAGGACAGCGCTGAAGCATAGCATTTTGGAGGTCATTGAATGATATTAAGCTGACGAAATAGTCCACAAGTTTATTTGAAAAAAAACTAAAATTGCAGAAATCACTAATACATGAAAGGCGCCATGTATCGGAGGTATTGGAAATCATATAAAGAAATCTTAATTTTCAAATATTTTTTTGAAAACTCATTAATACGACATAGGGCGTCTATATAGGCCAATATGCATGAAAACAATATTTCAGAACGCCGTTATAGCTGTATTTTATTTTACACTTTTTTCTGACTGGTCCTGTTATTATTGATAAGCTTTTCATTGACGGATATTTTTAGCCGAGGCCAAAGTAGGAGAATAAGCTGTGTGTCGGGGTCCCAAGTTAAACATAACATACAGTTTAGGTACATATTGAATCACTTCCGTGAATTTAGCCACATGTTTAGCCTGTCCCTTTGTGTGGTACAAAGGAAATCTATTTGATTTAAAAAAACAAAAAACATATAACCAAGTCAACTAAAATTTCTTGGGCTCCATTACTAAAAAGTTTCACCCCAATATTTATTTGCACATTTCCAAGACACAGCACATACATCCGAATTCTTACAATTGTCATAATAAAAGATATATAACAATGCAAATATTTTTCCCTCTGTTTACTTCACAGCCAAGTATAATACTTCAGACTATATAAATACCGATGAAGACGACTTAAAAACTCAAATACAAATATAAGCAAACGCGAATGTTTTGGCACTTGCCACACATACGCACATACATGCAAACACTCTCACTGTCATATAGGATGTGCACAAGTGCTTCCGGTTTATATTTTCTTCCTTTTCATCGCTATTTTTGTGGAGTTTTTAGTTGTGTTATATTTTTGGCATGGAATTGAGCTGTTGATGAAAATCATATGGGACCATAAAAAACGGGGATATGAAACGAGAAAGAAAGCCAAGAAAAAACTTCACATATTGTTTTGAAATTTATTAAATAAAAAAAATATTTGAAAAGTGTATTCAAGTTTGTATTGAAAACATACACTCGGCAGAAGCAAACACAAGTGGAATATCATATGTATGTTTGTTTAACTGAACTGGTGTGTAACATAGGAAGAAAATTCATGGGTTTCCTACACAGGTGGTGTCGAGGTTTTTTGTTGATGTGGCTTAAAAAATTAAAGAAAAAAAACGCTAATTTCTTAAAGTCATATGAATGAATTATATATAAAAAATCTATGAACTTGATCTAATATTGATATTAAAACAAGTAAGCAAAGGCTATAGTCATACGGGTCCGTCTATGTGATACGCTACAAAAAAGTATATTTTGTCTGCGACTTTTCATCCCACATGTCACATATTATGTTTGGTATACATTTGTATTTGTATTCCCTGCGGTAAGTGTATATAAAAAAAACAAGTAAAAAATCAACTTAGTTCGGCAGTTCCGAATTTTTTACACATTCCACCATTCGGAAGGAACTTAAAAATTGTAAAAAATGGGGCCTATGCGAAGTCGTGGTGCTGGATTAGTATTTTTTGGTTATGGGCTGTAGTAACGATTTCGAACTTCGAATACGAAATTTGACGCAATTCCAGTGAATAATGTCGCTTATATAATCAAATTACCGAATAAAGGGAGATACCATTGAATGGGGGCTATACTAAGAGGTAGACCTGCATAGACAATTTTCTGTCATAGGCTGTAAAACTCATTACGAACTTCACATACGAAATTTTACGCAATTCCGGTGAATAATGTCGCGAAAATCCTGGAAATACCGACAGTGGGGTAATGTTATATGAGTGCTATACTATAACGTAGACCTATATAGACAACTCTCTTCTAGGGAGTAAAGTACTCAGAGGGAACTCCTTGTGTGGATTTTCAGACTAATCCACTGAGAAATGTGGCAAAAATCATCAAAATACCAAATTTTGGGAGGTCTTTCAGAAGGTTAAGTACTCAGAGGGAACTCCTTGTGGAGAAAATGGAGACACACGATATCGTATAACTATATGGAAAACTCTTTTTCAGGGGATAAAATACTCACAGAGAGTATTTAAGCCAGTTCCATTGAAAATATGACTAAAATCATCAAAATACCGAATATCGGGAGGTACAGTTATGTTGGGGATATACGATATCGTGGATCTATGGAGACAATTCTTTTTCAGGGAGTAAAGTTGTCACGAGGAATTCATTTTGTAGAATATCAGACTATTCCATTACGAAATGTGGTGAAAATCATAAAAATAATGAATATCGGAGTACCATTATATTGGGGCTATACGATATCGTCGACCGGTACAGCCCATCTTCGAACGTGACCTGCCTGCAGACAAAATACAGATCGGTACAGA